CCCGCCTCCAGCCGCCGGCCTGAGGGGGTCGCCTTAAGCTGCGCAGGCGCGTGCGGGGAGCCCAACGGCGACTGATGGGTCTTGGCCTTCTCCCAGCAAGTGGGGACCCAGCGCTTCTCCACTCCTCAGGGCAGGAAAAGGGCTAAGGAGACCTGACGGAGGAAAGGAGGGAAACAAGAAGCCACCTGGGCTTCAGCCGGCTCGCGCCCCAGGCGGTGTTAGCAGCTCGGGCTGGGGCAAGAGGGCGCCCAGGGGCCCAAACCCACCTGGTGCGGGTCCTGCTCAGCCTGGCAGGCTCAGCCCTGGTAGGGCTTCTGACCAGAGGACCGCAGACGCCTTGTCTCCCGAGGGCTCTCCCAAGCCTGGGCCCTGGGCCACCCATGTGTCAGGCACGCTGAGCGCAGCCGTGCCTGTGACGCACGACTCTTTGAGGGGCCCACGGAAATGTTCAGACTTCTTTTAAAGTCAGGGGGGAAAATGAAAAAATCAAAGAAAATGTTTTGATTTTTTTTTTCTTACGTCAGAAAACAAAGTGAAATTTTTAGGGCCCGCAAAAAAATCTATTCATTAATTTTTTTTTTAATGATGTGAGAGTCCAGGGAGACAAAAGTGCTCAGGATCGCCCCTACTGCATGGCTCAGTGGTTGAGTTTCTTTTTTTTTTTTTCTTTTTTTAAATATATTTTTATTTTTTTCAGACAGGAAGTGAGAGAGAGTCATTCATAAGCTGCCTCTTGCACGCCCCCTACTGGGGATCATGCCCGCAACCGGGCAGGAATGGAACCTGGGACCCTTCAGTCCACAGGCCGATGCTCTATCCAGTGAGCCAAGCCATGAACCAGGAGTTCACGGTTCAATTCCCACTAAGGGCACATTCTCAGGTTGCAGGCTTGATCCCCAGTATGGGCCATGCAGGCAACAGCCAATCAATGATTCTCTCTCCCTCCCTCTCCCTCCCTCTCTCTTCCTCTCTGAGATTAATTTAAAAAAAAAAAAGATTAAATTAGACAGGAGATAGCTGTTTTTCCTTATGAGCCTTTTGGCATTGTTTAATTTTTAAACAATGTAAAAGTTACATAAGTAAAAAATAATAGCTAAAAAGAGAGTAATCTTAAATGTGCTTCTTGGATAAAAGTAAAACTTAAATTCGAGAAATTGTGGCTGTGGTAGAAGTGGTCTGGGAACTTTCTCGAGAGCAGGAACATCTGCTTTCTGACCCTAAATTAAAATAAATCATTGAGCTATACCCTTTGTCTTGTGACAGGCAAAATAGACCAGCCCCTTTGAAAAGGGAAACCAGTGACTCCTCTGGCTGGAAAGGACCACGGAGAAGGCCGGGGAAAGGACCCTGCTGTGCCTACTATGGTCTCTCTCTCTCTCTCTCTCTCTCTCTCTCTCTCTCTCTCTCAATCAGCATGTTGGTCAAGTCCAGGGACAGGAGGCTACGTTCTCTATTACACGGAGCAAAAAAGGGGGAATGAGTAGTTCAATAATGAAGCCTGATCATCTGTCTCACACAGAGAAAGCCTGGGCCTCCCAAAGGCTTTGTTTACAACCTAGATAGCACTTATCAGGGTTCCTAAAGTTGCAACTGGGACATGAAGAAGCCACAGGAGATGCAGGGTGAGTATTCTTTTATGGATTTCAGAGAGGAAGGGAGAGGGAGAGAGAGATAGAAACATCAGTGATGAGAGAGAATAATTGACCAGCTGCCTCCTGCATGCCCCCCACTGGGGATGGAGCCCACAACCCAGGCATGTGCCCTTGACCAGAATGAAACTCAGGACCCTTCAGTTCACAAGCCAATGCTCCACGCACTGATCCAAACTGGCTAGAGCGAGATGTGTCTCTCTTTAAATCTTGCTCTAAATTTCAGGTTGCCTTGTATGTAGAGTGAAGATTAAAAATTGCTTAATTGCTGTTGGGCTTTAATGAAGAGTTTTATTTTAGGGGGGGGGGAGGGGGATATGGGCTGGGTGGTGTGCCATAGTTGGTGACTGCTATCCATACTTTGGAAATGCCTGTCTGCTTGGATCACAAGCCCGCAATTCACATGGGCGGCAGCTTTACCCAGGTTGGCAACTTTACTTGTGCTACAGGCCTAG